GCTTAAGGTTGGAAGGGACCTCTAGAGGTCATCTAGTCCAACCCCCCTGCACACACAGGGTCACCTAGAGCACGTGGCACAGGACTGCGTCCAAGCGGGTTTTGAAGATCTCCAGAGAAGAAGACTGCACAACCTCTCTTGGCAGCCTGTTCCAGTGCTCTGTCACCCTCACTGTTAAGAAACTTCTTCCTTAAGTTCCTGTGGAACTTTTGGTGCTTCAGTCTGTGGCCGTTTCCTCCAGTCCTATCAGTGGCCATTAAGGAAAAGAGGCCAGCCCCATCCTCCTCACTGCCTCCCTTGCGGTATTTGTAGACATGGATTAGATCTAGAGCTGCCTAGAAGCTTTACCTTCTGTGTTTGCTCATTTCAGAGCCATCTCCCCTTCGACTAGTGAATGGCTCCAATCGTTGCTCAGGGAGAGTTGAGGTGCTGCATGACCAGCAGTGGGGCAGCGTGTGTGGCAATGGATGGGACATGAAGGATGCAGAAGTGGTGTGCCGGCAGCTGGGCTGTGGGACAGCAATATCTACCCCCACCTCAGCTCACTTGAGGCAAGGACATGACCCTATCTGGCTGGATGGGGTTGACTGCACAGGAACAGAAACCTCCCTTGCTGAGTGCAGAGCCAATCCATGGGGACTACATAGCTGCTCCCATGATGACGATGCAGGTGTTGTATGTTCAGGTAAACCATTTGCACGTCCATGGTGGAAACCTGTCATGTATTCAGCAGTCACGCAACTAAGTTGGATAAGATTAGTCTCATCTCTCTGAGATCGATGTCACCATTAAGCTATGGAGAAGTCCATGGCTGAGTCCATGGTGGCAAACTCAAGCAGTGAAGCTTTGAGTTGAAGCTTGTCAGCCTAGCTTCATTTGCTTGGCAAGTCTCATTGTTTTACCTTTCAAGGTACCTTCATAAATTTCATACCTTGTAGCCCCTCACACCGTGTCCTGTAATATTCACTTTTATAGGGAAGCAATCTGAAACTGTTTTGCTCGCATTATGGCTATTGCATTGTCCAATGTTCATGTGACTTCACAAGGAAATCTTGGATCATTCAGGCTCATATTTGCAGTATAAATATATCTATTTATGTGCAAACAAATCACGGGGGTGAGATGTTATGGAAGCATGTCTTCATCCTGAGTTGATGCCCAAGGGCTGTATCTTAAATATCAGGGGAGTGACAGATCTTCCAGGGTCACCTGAGATCATGTTCAGACTACAGAGAGATGCAGATGAACAGGAAATCCTCCTGGGCCCCTCTCCTTGACACGAGGCTCCACAGTGACTGTAGTAAATTGCAATGGCAAGAAAGTTATCTCTAGAAAAGCACTTTGCCTTCAATCTTTTTCATGAAAATGAGCAACAATCTTCCATTGTAAGACACTGACTATTTTATAGCAGTGAGAGTTTTGGGGCTTGGTATATTGAACTCACAGTCCCGCTGTGTTGGTTGGTTGTGGGGACAGGAGTTACCTGTTACCCACAGCTGGTGGCTGAGTGCAGGTAGGGAAGCCCAGGTAGGTGCTGACCTCACAGCCTTGGTCTCTATCCCAGGCACGACTGCAAGACTCTCTAGCATCCCACTGCCAACACCTCTTCTTCTGGGCCTGGTGGCATTGCTACTTCTTGCATTGCTGATGGGGGCTGTCCTGCTGTTGACGAAGAAAAGGCCACGGTCCAGGGTTTTTCTGCATTCAGCAGGTCAGCCTTTACTTTTACTCATAGAGCTGATGGGGATCTGGGCTGGTGTCATGTGTGTGGGCTGCGGGCTCCTTGCAGCAGAGCCCAGGTCACCCTAGATCAACGACCACGTAACGAGCAAGATAGGAACAGAAGGATCTGTGAAGAGTGGTCATCTGATTTCTGTGCTCAGGGCAAGCCAGCAGCACAGCTGGAGACATACTCTGTGCAATGTCCTAGTCCTAGGGCTGTGCAATGCTCTTTTCCAGGTGGATGGCAGATTGTGTCCTTGCAACAGCCCCATAGTTGTGTCTGTGAACCTGGCACTGAGCAGATTCTCTCACAGATTCTCCATGCTCCTTATTGAGTGGAGTCCTCTGACATTCCGTCCTTTTTCTTTTCAGGCAATGATCTGGAATTGAATTCCCTGGGAACTCTCTGGATTCAGGGAAGTGGTCAACTCACAGCCATAACAGAAGTTGCTGAAGAGCCCCGCAATGAAATGGTCTGGCTGGTGAAAGCCAAGACGATGACACTGCCCCAGGATAAACCTGAGGGAGGACAGGAGAAAAATTGAAGCTTCCTCCCAAATAAGGCATTGTGAGCAAAGTCTAGGTGCAGATGAGGACTGAAAGGTCACTTTATCTCCATCTCTGGTGCTGTGTGCTGGGGACAACATGTGAAAAAAAGAACACCAGGTCCTAGATACTTCTAATATTTGATATATCTGTAAAAATAAACTGGCTCTTTCCAACACGGTCAAAACAATTCTTACTGCCCTTATAATCCAAATGTGGAAAAATCTTGGCTCCAGTTCAGATCTCGGTGTCCTTGTTAGGGCTCAGATGCATCTCCTCTCACTGCATTCTCCTGAGTTGTTCCTTGGGAATGAATGAGATGTACCCTTAGGTGGTGCAGTAATGGTGCTGGTTTTGCTCAAAGTGATGTGCATGGGGACAAGAAACTGTAGTTCAGATTTCACAAATACTAACCTTGTGCACAAGAGGAGCAGAAGACTGAGAGAGCAGAGTCTAAAATAGTTCAGATTTCACAAATACGTGGCTATACTAACCTTGTGCACAAGAGGGGCAGAAGACTGAGAGAGCAGAGTCTAAATGGATGCAGCTTGTGGAACTCTCATAGGTGAAGATGAGGGCATCTGGATGCAGATAAAGATCCTAGACTATCTCATGAAAAAAACACTAGAGGCCAGAATTTGGCATTCATAGAATCCTTAAGATTGGAAGGGACCTTTAGAGATCATCTAGTTCAACCCCGCTCCACACGCGGGGTTACCTGGAGCAGGTGGCACAGGGTGGCATCCAGGAAGGAGATTCCACAACATCTCTTGGCAGCCTGTTCCAGTGCTTTATCATCCTGTTGCAGTTTGAAAGCCCTGATGGGAGGGAAGGAGATATCAAATATTTTATTAGCTATATGCCCAACTCTGGCAGTATCGGATTTATGAACAGTCTGTCATCTGTAGGTCCTACCACCTTCCTAGGAGCAAATCGAGTTCACCAATAATATGATCAACTATAGGCCCAACTCTGGCATTATTGGACTCAGGAACAGTCTGCCAACTGCAGGTCTGATTGCCTTCTAAACAAGTAGTCGAGTTCACGAATATCATGATTTATTCAAATGCAACATTTACAAAGCAGGTTCCAGATGTCAGTACAGGAAATCCTCTGCTACAGCGTGGGGTTTTTTTAGCTGTCTCTGATGTACAAACACGCAATCATCACTCACCTCAGAAGATGGGAGAGGGCTCTCGGTCTCGAGGAGTCTCCTCAGGCGGCGACCCAACCCGAGGGGAGGAAAGGGGGCATCAGCCGATTGACTGATCCAAAAGTTACGATGGAAATTTTCCTCCTCTTCCTTTCCTCCGTAACTCACCTTTTATCCTTTTTTTCTTATATTTTGGTGGAGCTTAAGTGACTATAGTCATACCTGTTATTTATTGGTGAAAAAGTTTCTTGCTTTTATATAAAGGTACAGTCAATCGAACATCCAGAGCCCGTGCTCAGTGTGTAGTGGTTGTACCTCGGAGGTGGGTAACTTTGGGGATGGAGGTATGTTTTGACATTATAATGAGCAAAGTTCAAGCAAAGTTCGTCCGAAAGGAGTGATTTGCCGCTCTTGCTGGCACAGCACCAGACATCTTATCTTGTATCTCCCATTGGAGAGCTACTGTGCGGCCCAGCATGGGGAGCGCAGCAGAGCTTGGCCATGGTGTCTTCACTCTGCTCCATACTCCGTTACTCCTCTTTGCAGCTGTGAGGAGGGCTGATTGTGCTGGTGGGAACCATGGAGGAGCTGCATCCTTGCACACCAACCATCCTGGAAGTGGCACCTGTGTATCACCCCAAGCAAGCTTCTGTAATGCCCAAACTTCTATTATTCCCTAGTTTTTCTCTAAGAAGTTCTCTCTTTTCAAGCAATTCTTCCACGCACCCTCACTGCCAAGAATTTTTTCCTTAAGTTCATGTGGAACTTTTGGTGTTTCAGTTTCTGGCTGTTTCCTCTAGTTCTGTCGGTGACCACCAGTGGAAAGAGGCCAGCACCATCCTCCTCACTGCCTCCCTTGAGGTACTTCTAGACACTGCTCAGGTCCCCTCTCAGCCTTCTCTTCTCCAGGTCATCCTCGTAGCCCTGCACTGGACTCTCTCCAGCAGCTCCACATCCCTCTTGTGCTGTGGAGCCCAGAACTGGACACAACACTCCAGATGTGGCCTCACCAGGGCTGAGTAGAGGGGCAGGATCCCCTTCCTTGACCTCCTGGAGATGCTCTTCTTGATGCACCCCAGTATCCCATTGGCCTTCACTGATATGAAAGGGAAGCAGAGCTGGGAAGCGGGAAGCCTAACAGGTGCTGCTGCAGTGGTGAGGCCACTTAAACAGCTTCCAAACACAGGACCAAATCCCAGGGCATTTCCAGGGGAAGCAGGGAGGGAGGAGCCGATCAGGAGGCGGGATGGAGCTAGGGCAAAGACAGGCAGGTCACTGCAGAGGAGGGGACAAACATAACCTTTTCAGCTGAACCCAGCTCAGCTTTCAGCTCTCGCTGGGATGATTGCCTACCCTAAAGTGTGTGCTACTGGCATGGAGTTTTCAGGACATCGCCTGTTGCCCCTACGGAAGATTCTGGTTAGATACACTGGAATTGGGCTCCTGATCTACCTTGCATGCCTCTATGGTGAGTAATGCATCTCTCTGCCAGCTATCCTGCATTTCCAGTATCTCTCCTCTGAACCAGCTCTCCCATGGGAGGAGCTGCATCCCAGGAGAGTGTTCAGTTTGGGAAACAGGGATCTGTTATCCACAGGAACAGGGGGAATGGCCAGCACTGCTAGATTCCGAGCTGGAGAATAGAATAGAGGACAGTGACAGATGTTCTACAACCCACCTAATCTCATTGGTTTTACAGAGAGATAGTGCAAAGCATCCTTTGAACTGCCAACCTTCAGAAGCAAAAGGAAAAGCCCAGCGGAGGAGATCTTACTGTCCAACTAATTAATCTGGCCTCTGCACCGTTGCCCTTACACAGAGCTGTTGGGAAATGTTTAGGGCCTTACTAATCTGTTACAGTCAAGACCAAAACTGGGTTATTTGTGTTGGCCGCTTCTTCAGGACCGTTCTGTGTGTTTTTTTGAGGGTAGAGCACAAAGTCCTATTTCCTCCAGCACAAACATGAGCAGCTATTTTGCTCTTCAGCTTGCAGATAGGAAAGCCTTTGCAGAAGGTGACTAATTGTGCTGCAAGACCATTCTCCCTAATAGCTGGGATGGTGTTTTTGCCTTTTTTTTTTTTTTCCCTTCTACCTGCCTCATTTGGTACCTCCCTGACTTCCAACTAAGTTCCCTTCTGATTTTCATGCATAACTTAAGTATACTTGTTCCTGTGAGTAAAAAACCCCACAATGGCTGTGAGTTCCTGATGCAGTGTCCCAATTCCGCATAGGAAGAAAATGTCTCTTGGGATAAGAGTTACAAAGCTGACAAATTGCAGCTCTTTGTGTAGTTATTGCAGATGCCTCTCTCACTCTTCCAGGCTTATAGAGAGCAGAATGTGTGGGGCCGTCTTCTACAGGTGGGCTTAGGTTCAAGTAATCACAAAGGAAAATTTTATGTCAAAACTAACTAATTTTGGGATCAGCTCTCCAAGCAGTGGAGGCACACATGTAGATCAATCTTTAAAACTACCTCTGTGGGAATTAAATAGAGCATAGAGAGGCAGTGCTCTGTCCATTTACTGGCCAGAGGATTCAAATATTACATTAGGGTTTCCAGAAAAGCAACACAGCTGCAGAAACATCATTTTCTAGGGAATTGGGATAAAATGTAGGCTCTGATCGACTCTGAGAACTCCTCTAGCCTAATCCCATCCCTAGGAAATGAACAACAGTGCAAACTCCTGCCAGACAGGTCTAACCTGTTCTTAATTCCCTTGCAATGGGTATCCAACACCTGCTCAGACAGTGCAGCACTTAACTACCACTACTAAATATCACTTTTTAACCATTTACCTGAACCTTTCTTGCTGTAATTGAAGTCTAATGGTCTCCTCTAGTATATTCACAATGTGGCTAGGTATCATTTACCCATTTGCCCTGCAGGCTCCCCAACACATCCTGCAAATGGTCAGATTGCCCTCAGTCCTCTCCTTTCCATCGCATTAGCAGTCAAATGACAAGTACTTCCTACACACATTTTTCCAGAATTCTCAAACCAACTTGCAGTGTATTCCTCTTTATTCCTCGGCATGCTTGAAAATATCATGTAAAAAAATACACCAAATCACTTTGAAAATAGACGCTTTTGTCCATTAGAATGACAGAGTCCACAGAGCATTTTCTTAATGAGACCTTGATTTTTCTGTGCATGTCAGTGGTCA